GCTATGCAAAAAACCTTCTTTAGCTCAAGGGTAAATCAAATTGAGTAGGAATAGTATCCTCCAGGAAATCCGTTGGGACTTGAGTTATCGTTGGCTTTCCTTGGAACTTTAGCTCTTGGTGCTGAAGGCACACCTTTTCTCTGTATTAGTACTGCCCATGCCCCTGTCAGGATATACACACTAAACATGTACATTCTTATGTACTTCTCATAGCCATTGTAAAAAGTTCACTGGCCACTCAGAAAAAGTTCAGGAATTTTTCATATTTGACAGCCGATTAATGAAGTTGTAGGGGAAAAAAAACAGAATAATCACTTTTTAATGACTAGTAAAGTATTGAATATAGCCTTTTTAATCTTGCCTGAGTAGTTAAGAAGCATTGTCGGATATAATCAACACACAGTTTTCCCTCTAAGCTGAATTAGTGTGAGCTAGCTCACAGTTTTTTAGCCTCCGGCTCACACATTTTTGTCTTAGCTCAGGAAGGATGGTGCCAGAGCAAACTAGTTTATGCAGCAGCTAAATTGCTCGCTCATAGCTTTAATGCAGTAGCTCACAAAGCAGAATTTTTGCTCACAAGACTCCACAGCTTAGAGGGAACATTGGACCTGAGTATGACTTCATAAAATCATTTTAAGAACCAATCACGTACCTGTACAGTCATCACAGTAAAATTATAAGGATTTTTCTAAGATAGTGTCTGTCCCTTTCTGTATAAAAGTGTCACATGGAAGAGTTACTCAGGTTTTCTGTGAAAGGAGTGTCAAAGGCAGTGTTCCCTCTAAGCTGAGTTAGTGTGCGCTAGCTTACAGTTTTTTAGCCTCCGGCTCACACATTGTTGTCTTCGCTCAGGAAGGATGGCTCCAGAGCAAACTAATGTATGCAGTAGCCAAATCACTTGCTCACAACTTTAATGCCAGTAGCTCACAAAGTAGAATTTTTACTCACGAGACTCTACAGCTTAGAGGGAGCATTGGAAGGATATAGGTATTTATTTGAGTGTTTGTATTGGGTTTCCCAAGCCTTTTAAAGCATTTATTTGTATTTATTTGTGTGTTTGCATTGGGTTTCCCAAGCCTTTTAAAGCATTCTAATTCGAAATCTGATTAGCTTTAAAGCTCATTTATTCAATCACGCTTGAGAAATGTTAAGAGAGATGGTTTTCCTTGCATGAGGTCTTTCAGTGATTTTAGGGTTTTGTTTATTTTATTTTTTGGATTTTTATTCCACCCTCCCTAAAGCAGGCTCATGGCGGATCACAACAAACAGAGCCGGAGGCTCATTACAATAAAACTGTCTTGTCTCTATTTTTTAATTATCTTACCTGATAAAAAAGTTGTGTCTTTTTTCAATAAAAGATCACCAACTCATTGACAGTTTCTGTCTGGTTTGCTCTTGCAAGGTTAAACACAGAACTCACTTATAAATACTGCACCATTGCAGTTTAAAGTTGTCCCCCTTTTAGAGTCTCTGATGCTACTTGGCTGGTGAGAATAACTTTCACAGTACAAGTCGTCCAGACCTTTAAACAGCGTAATTATCTTGTTACACCCCCAGAGAAAGAGCTCAAACAAGTTCCACAGGTGGAGGACCAAGCCCTGTTTCAAACATGCATGTCCAATTTATATATGAGGGAACAGAACGGAGCCTTGGAGTACCTTAAGAGCCGGCTTGGTGTAGTGGTTAAGAGCGGTGGACTCTAACCTGGAAAACTGGGTTTGATTACACACTCCACCACATGAAGTGGTTGACCTTGGGTCAGTCATGGTTTTCTTAGAACTCTCTTAGCCCCACCTACCTCACAGGGTGTCTGTTGTGAGGAGAGGAAGGGAAGGTGATTGTAAGGCACTCCGAGACTCCTTCGGGTAGTGAAGAGCAGGGTATAAAACCAACTCTTCTTCTTTAAGACAAACCACAGTTGTTGTGGTTTCAGGTGGGTCTCCATGTTAGTCTGTAGCAGCAGCAGAACAAAATTTGAGTCTAGTAGCACCTTTAGGGTTGCCAGGTCTGGGTTGGAAAATATCTGGAGACTTTGGGGGTGAATCTGGGAGAGGGCGGGGTTTGAGGAGGGGAGGGGCCTCAGCATGGTACAATGCCATAGAAGCCACCCTTCAAAGCAGCCATTTTCTCCAGGGGAGATCAGTTGTAAAAGCAGAAGACCCCCAGGCCCCACCTCCATGCTGGCAACCCTAAGCACCTTAAAGAACAAGAGCATATCCCAGGATATAAGCTTTGGCAAGACAAAAGCTCATTTCGTCTGACACAACTAAGAATGAGGAAACATTGGCCTTTATATGAGATCCATTTTATATCCATTGGCCTTTATATGAGGTCAGAGAGGGAGGAGGTGTTACAAAGGGCCTGTCAGGATGCAGAGATACCATGCAAAATATAGCAGTAGGAAAGAGCAAGAGTCCAGTAGCACCTTAAAGACTAACAAAAATTGTGGCAGGGTATGAACTTTCATGAGTCACTGCTCGCTTCTTCAGATATTCATACCCTGCCACAAATTCTGTGAGTCTTTAAGGACTCTTGCTCTTTTCTACTGCTACAGACAGACTAACCTGGCTATCCATCTTGATCTACCTCTATGAAAAATGTAATCAGCTTCCATTAAAGCTTGGAGAGATGAGTAGTGTTACAAGGAAGAGCCAGTTGGAGTCAGTCTGCAGAGTTACAATGCAAAATGTGGAACAGTCTATGCGACTACATTTTTGCATTGCACCTCTGCAGCCTGACTCCAACCGGCTCTTCTCTGTAACACCTCCTCCCTCCCTCCCTCCCTCTGATGATCATTGTGGCACAAGACTTTGTAGGCCAGAACCCACTTCGTATCAGGTACACGGTACTGTTGCAGCAGGGAAGAGCAGCAATGATTAATCCTGAAGGCTTAGAACACCTTGGGGATTTGAACCAGGGTCTCCCAGCCACAGCCAGTTCTGTGGCTCTAACCTCTACAACCATGCAATATCCACTGACCTGTGGCTGCAGTTCGAGCATATTTGCATGATACTCAAAAGTGGAACAGGGGTCACTGGGTGCGTGTGGGGGGAGGCAGTGTTAGCATTGGGGGGCGGTATTTGTGAATTTCCTGCATTGTGCAGGGGGTTGGACTAGGTGAGCCTGGAGGTCCCTTCCAACTCTATGATTCTATGACCTTGTGTACAAGAGGGGCACAGTGACCACTTATAGCATAAGTGGATACACTATACGATAAACTTGCTAGACTTGGCGAACAACATTTGAGCCCAGTGGCACCTTTAAGACCAACAAAGTTTTATTTAAGGTATGAGATTTTGTGTGTACGCACACTTCCTCAAATGGGAAGTGTGTGTACACATGAAAGCTCATAGCTTGAAGAAAACTCTGTTGGTCTTAAAGGTGCCACTGGGCTCGGACTTTGTTCTACTGCTTTGTTCTGCTGTCTCAAACAACTCCTCACCCACAATAATACAACACCTAATTTGAACATGGACACTGGGACCAGAGCTTGCAATAAACCCAGATGCCAACTTTGCTGCCACATACACCAAGACAACACAATCACTTGACCTAACAATGCCAACTACACCATCAAAGGCTCATTCACTTGCTCATCTTCTAACATGGTATATGCCATCAAATGTCATCAATGCCCTTTGGTCCTCTACAGAGGACAAACAGGACACATCCTATGCCAGAGGATAAATGGACACAGATCTGGAATCATCAGGAATCACAAGATTGAGAAATCTGTAGGAGAACACTTCAACCTTTCAGGATATTCAATGGGTGACCTCAAAGTAGCTGTTTTATTACAAAGGAACTTCAGGAAAGGAATGGAATGGGAAATTGCTGAATTCCAAGTTATTACAACACTCGGAATGAACATCCCTTCAGGAGGACTTAACAGGGATATTGTTTTCTTATCTCATTACATATACTAACTCATTCAGTCCTCATATATGTATTCTCAACCAGAAGGACTATACAGCCTCTGTATTGTAGTGTATTTCTTATTCAGAATAGTATATTAGAATACTGAATGTAATGCAAGGAATATTGAGATGTTTTGCTGCATCCACCTCAAAAAAGGAAAACAATGCTGTTAAGTGATCTCCACCCTTGAGAGGAGATAATGAGGAGTATCAGTTTACTTCCCACAATTAGAAAACATACCTTTACACATTTATCTATTTTCACATATTTATTGCTTTACAACTGTTGACCTTATAACCGTAGCTTGTTATTTAGTTCTGTCTTTGCACATCCTCATCATGTTACAGGTTAATCAGCTGTCCAGCACCTGTCTATAAGTGAACCTTACCTACCATTCTAATGTATTTGAAAAAGTGTGCATGCCCACAAAAGCTCATACCTTGACCGATTCCTCAAAAGCAATTGTTGCGCCCTGGGTCTCCCGTTTCCCCGGCTGTATTCCTCAATTTCCCACTATTTGCTGCAGGGCCACATTTTGACACGCATCTCCCCCGAGTCTTCTTGATCCTTATTTTTTAGGGCGCAACAACTGCTTTTGCGGAATCGTGCTTGAATAAAACTTCGTTGGTCTTAAAGGTGCCACTGGACTCTAAATTTGTGCTACTGCTTCAGAACAGGGCTAGTCGAGCCGAGCCGACCCGACCCGACCCAACCCACCTGGATCTTTCTTACTAGATTCGAGAAGCTACTTCAGCGCTTCTCCCATGCAACAGGCTACATGCCTTTCCACAAGGGAGAAGCCGCCAAGAGTATGGTTGCAACCCACTGGGAAGTGGCATTTCTCGCAGCTCTCCGTATTCACCGAGCTTGTGAAAAGCTCTCCGTCATAATAAAGAAATAGACAGACGCTTCGATGCAAGGGCACACACGACCACGACCCACCTAGCTGCAATATCACCCGGGACATTCCCTCCTCACCCCACAGCTCGGGGTGGAGCCTTCCCGGTTGGTGGGAGGAGACCGGGCCTGGGTTGTGCGGTGACGCGCTCTCCGTGCGCCCGGCTTCGCCTCTGCTCGTCGCCTTTGCACGGGGAGCAGCGTGAGTACCTCTGCCTGCACGCTTGAGTGTGGGAGGATGGGGAAATCAGGAGGGATCACCGCGGGGTCGATCCCCGACCCGGTGCGCAGCTTCGAGCGCTGGAAGAAGAAATACGCCCAGCGCAAGAACAAGCTGCGGCTGCAGCGCAAACAGAAGAAGCGGCCCGAGTGGGAGGTGGAGAGGGAGGCGATCGCCCGCCTGGAGCAGCGCTACTCGGAGGTAAGAGGAGCCTGCTGCCCCGCCGGCTTGTTACTCCAGGTGCCAGGTTCGCTCTTGGAGCGTATGAAGGTATGGCGGTGCCGCTGAGCGTGTGCAGAGTGGTTGTTCCTGGCGGTCGAGGAACCGGCGCCAGCACCTCCAATGTATCTAGGATTTTAGGATCTTCAAATCGGGCCGTGCGATTTTCAGGCAGGGCTGAGTCCATACCCCTTCGTTAAATTGGAGGCTGCGGTCACACACACTAAATAATCCACTTTCAGTACATTTTCCAACTGGATTTTCCTGTGTAAACTAGCAAAATCCAGTTGGAGAGTGCATTTGAAGTGGACTATTTAGTGTGTGTGTGATGGAGCGCCCCCCTTCGGTGGCAGGGTCGTAAGGGACAGAGGACCAAGGGGGTACCTAAGGATGGAAACTGAGTCAAGATGGGGAGATGTGCTTTAGTTTGAGTCCAGCTGTTGGACAGAGATCCCTAAGGACACTTTCGTGGGAGAAAGCCCCACAAAAAACATGGCAGTTCTGAGTAGATCTGCTTATCATTATGCCCTAATAACTTGCCACCAGGCAGTAGTAAAATCTCTAGTTACTTGGCCTGGCTGGGATTATTTGCTCCCTGTTTAAGGAGCAAAGAGAGAGAGAAAAACATGGATGGTGGGCAGGGGTGGAAGAAAAACTGTAGGAAAGTCAAACATCATAGCCAATAATTTGCACATCTGGAAATTTTTAAAAAGCAAAGTCACACATTCACCGTCAGCAACTAATCATTGGTAGTGGAGGCTTTTCCTACACTGTAGGGGAAAGCTGTTTTTATTCTGGGGTGTTGCTTTTGAGAATGGAAAAAAAAGTCTAAAAGATCGCAGAAGCTAAGCAGCATTGGCCCTGGTTAGTACTTGGATGGGAGATAGGGTTACCAAGTACCTACCTACAAATCGGCGGGGGACACATGCTTCCTCGCCGGAACATTCTTGCATGTAACACGGCAGCGTTGCACTATCCTGTCGCCCAGACGTGACGTAAGCATGCTGGGCACGTAGCCGGGTGACGCTCTGGCAATGGGGCTGGAAACTCGATGGTACCATCGAGTTTTCAGCCCCATTGCCAGACGTCACCCGGCTACATGCCCACGTCATGTCTGGGCAACAGGATAGTGCAGCGCCTGTGTTTTCCCCCCGGGAATGTTCCCACCAAGAACTATATGTCCCCCGCCGATTCACGGTAAGTACTTGGTAGCCCTAATGGGAGACCATCAGGGAAGTCCAGTGTCAGTGTGGGAGACCACCAAGGAAGTCCAGGGTTGCTGTGCAGAGGCAGGCAATGGCAAATCAGCTCTGTTTGTCTCTTGCCTTGAGAACTCTATGGGGTAGCTGTAAATTGGCTGCAGCTTGATGGCACTTTCCACCCTCCCCTACAAAGGACTCACAAATCCAGGGTTTCCTATAAGGGTTTCTTTATAAGAGCCCAGGTTCTGGGCCCTGCAACTTTTCCAGTTGCCTGTCATGCAGGCTGCTTTATTGTGTTGTGACAGTTACTGCGGAATAGATGTTTTAGGTTTTAGCAGGATTACCTGGTGTAAGTTAATTTGTGCAGTTTCTCATATCTACTTCACACTGTACTTTAAATGTGTGTGAACAAACCTTGGTGTGCATACTTGTAAAAACGCATGTGAGACTGAGAAAGGCTGTGGTTTTGAGGGGGGTATTTCCTGCCATTGGATCATGTAGCTATGCTTTTAGTGGAATCAGTTAAGAGCTTTTTGGGGTGTGGTGAAGAAGCAGGTCAGTGTTGTTGATAAGAGTGCTTTGAACACGTGAAGCTGCCTAATACAAAAGCTGCCTTATACAAAATCAGACCATCAGTCCATCAAGATGAGTATTGTCTGCTGAGGTCTTTCACATCACCTACTGCCTGGTCCTTTTAACTGGAGATGCCAGGGATTGAACCTGTGACCTTCTGCACGATCTGCCACTGAGCTGCAGCCCCTTCCCTCCCTCTGTCCTTCAGTGACATCTTGAAAACCGTGGCTACAGTTTTGTGGTAGGGTATTAGGACACAGTTTTGTGGTAGGATGTGAACTTTTGTGAGTCCTACAAAAGCTGATTACTTATTACAATTTTTGTTTTTTGGGGGTGAATATTGTGTGTGTATATGTGCTTGTGAGCCTGGAAGTCATGGTGACTTCTGGTGACCCCTAGTGGGGCTAGGACATTTCAGAGAGGTGACTTGATAGCCTGCCTCTGTGTCCTAGTCCTGGTATTCCTTGGAGCTCTCTCTTCCAGGTTCCTGCCAGGGTCGGCCCTGCTTAGCTTCCGAGATCTGACGAGATCAGACCTGCCTGGGCTATCCAGGTCAGGGCACCCTACCACAAATTTTGTTAGTTTTTAAGGTGCTGCTGGACTTACTTTTTTCTACAGCTACAGACAGGCTGACATGGCTACCCATCTTGATACAGTTTTGGATACTCTTGGATACAGCCAATCTAGCCACACTGACCCGTACTACTGTAACCTCAAATCCAGATTACTATAATGCGCTGTATGTAGGGCTGCTTTTGAAGGCAAGTTGGAAATTTCAATTAGAACAACATATAGCTGCTCTGCTGTTGATATGAGCTAATTTTATGTTATTACATTTCACTCTCCACTTGAATGTCATGGACCTTTGATGTTCATAATTTTCTTCTTCATACCTTAATACATAAATGTGTGCCTAATGAGGACCTGCTGTATGCATGTGATGACATCCTTGCAAGCTTATGCTGGAATAAAGTTGTTAGTCTTTAGAGGCCCCGGTCACACGTAAAGGTTTGGCCCAGGAGAGGGACGGATTGGGGGCGCAGCAAACGGGCGCGATCTCACCGCAACATCTGGGAAGTGGTGCGCACCCATCCCCGATCCGTCCCAACCCCCGAAAAGGCGCAGCAAAAATACACCACCTACCGAGGTGGTACTTCCAGCGTGGCTGCATCAAGGCTGGCCGTGGGATCGCCGGCATGTCCTTCTGCCGGCACATCCCCGGCTCCTGGCTGAACTGTGCATGCTCAGACATGCGCAGTTCGGCAGTCTCCCGTTCCCCACTGTCGTGCCGGGGAGGGAATGCGCCAGGCTCAGGGGATCAATGTGATCCTGCCGCCCGTTCCTTTCCCCCTGTGTGGCAGGGACCAGAGTAATACAAGACTCCTGTTTATTTTTTGCTGCAGCAGACTAATGCAGCTCCTTCTCTGGAATTAAGGCTTTGGAGTGGTGTTTGCCTTGCATATCTGTTCCTTGGAAGTTGAGCATGCATGTTTTGACTTGAAAACCAGCACTGACAGCAATTCAGCTCAGCTGTACTGGGAAACATTTGCTTGTCCTTGTGAAATGGGGGGAGTGGCCGGTAGACGTTAAGCATGTTCATTGGTGTAAACACAGCAATTGTCTCCTGTGGTAACAACCAGGAATGATGCATACTCTGTAACTAGGGTTGCCAATCTCCACGTGGAGGCTGGAGGTCTCCCAAAATTACAACTGGTCTCCAGGTGACAGATCAGTTCTTTTGAAGAAAATGGCTGCTTTGGAAGGTAGACTCTATGACAACATATCCTTGTCCTCTCCACTTCCAAATCTCCAGGTATTTCTCAAGCAGGAGTTGGCAACCCTATCTGTAGAGCATCTCTTTGCTGCAAACTAATATGGACTTAGCCATCATTCCTTCTTCCACAGAACCTTGGGTATTGAGAGGAAGGGCAAGAGAGACTATGGATTTCTAATGAAGTGTTATCAGCAGCTCACCAAACAACAGTCCACAGGGGCCTTTGGAGGAAAGCCAAAACCATCTAGTATAAAAAAGCAATATCAGTTTATATTGTAGCTTCTCTGTTAGTGGTTCAGAGGCTTAAGTTGTTTGTGACTGTCTTTGTACCTGTTCCTTTCTCTGTCTCCTATCAATTTTCATGTGACTATGTACCCATGAAGCTACTTGGTAGTGAATCAGACCACTGCTCCATTTAGGTCAGTGTTGTATGTTACTCAGGTATTGAGAGGAAGGGCAAGAGAGACTACGGATTTCTAATGAAGTGTTATCAGCAGCCTTTGGAGGAAAGCCAAAACAATCTAGTATAAAAAAGCAATATCAGTTTGTATTGTAGCTTCTCTGTTAGTGGTTCAGAGGCTTAAGTTGTTTGTGACTGTCTTTGTACCTGTTCCTTTCTCTGTCTCCTATCAATTTTCATGTGACTATGTATCCATGAAGCTACTTGGTAGTGAATCAGACCACTGCTTAGGTCAGTGTTGTCTGTTACTCAGATGGCAGCTCTCCAGGGTCTCAGGCAAAGGCCTTTCCCATCACCTACTCCTTCATCCTTTTAGCTGGAGATGCTGGGGGATTGAACCTGGGACTTTCTGCAGGCTAAGCAGATGGCCTCCCACTGAGCCACTTTTCCCTCCCATTGTTTTTAAGATAGCTGACCATATGAATGGTTGACTATCCTCAATCAGGTTTTAGTACAACCGGATACAGGACTGCCACGTTATTTGTGGTGGAGTCAAAATGTGCTACCTTTAAACATAATTTATGAAATGCTTACATTAGACAGAACACTTCTTTGTGGGGGGACCGGAGGAGTAAATTGCATTATTCAAACTGTTAAAATACGCAAAGCATAACATATTGTTTTGAGTTACTTAATGCAGCTATTATTCAAAAAGAAAAACAACTATTCCTCTACACGGTGCATCATATTTTATAAACCAATTTTCCCTTTATGTATTCAGAAACTATAATTCTGTTCTTATTTTGTACTTTTAAAATGGGCTTCTCTTACCTTAAAATGAGCCTCTGTTCTGAGAGCTAAATAATATTGCCCTTCTCACAGAAATTAAATTTAAACTGTGCACATATCTGGCATTTTGATGATTGCTTTACATACCAATAACTTGATTTCAAATTGTTGGTACATCCAGTGGCACAAGAAACTTGCTGAATACAAAAAACAGCAATGGCTTTTATTTTACACATACATCTTTATTCCAAGAGGGGGAATGATTGTTCAGATTTGTTATGAAAATATATTTGTGAGCTTTTTCCTAAGTGAAGGCAGGGCTGTAATCAGTTTTTACCATTCCCTCCTAATGAAAGTTATGTTATAATACAAAAAAAACCTAATGGTGATGATGACATCACTTCCTCTTATCATTTAAACACACTTACATGGGACCTGCACTTGCTCACCTCGCAAATGACTTTTCTGGAGAGTTTCAAAGACACAGAGATAGCAGGTATACATTTAGATATATTGACTATATCCATCTTTCATGGCTATGATGGGTTGAGATGAGATGTTTGATGTACCGTACGTGGAAACTGGGAAAAGGTGGGATTCTGGAGCAGGGTTAGAATGACAAGGGAAGTTCTGACTGCTGCTTGCAGGCACCCTTAGCTGTTGTGCTTCTCTAACTTCTGTTTAATTCAAAGTGTAATATCAAATCAATATGTATTTATTTTTTTTATTAAAGAACTGAGCGTTCACGTCTGTGACAGTGTGATCCCACCTTGTGACACTTGCATTTAGGAAAATAACAATAAACAAACTTCAGAAGACATAGTATCTGGAACAGTAATTGAGCATATACAACAACAATCAACATGGAACAATTCAGGCCTGTTGTATTTGAGCAGACCAGGGTCTCAGTCTTTCTGACTTACGTCTGTCCAGTCCTATAAAGGGGCATCAACTTGCAGCTGTGCTATGTGTTGGGATACTCTCTGTTCTTTACAGGAGTTTCTGGTATCCCTAGAATATTAATATATAGTATTATAGAAAGGAGGTAAGAGTACTTCTACCTGCAGCTTCAGGACCACCAAATCCTCAGGGAAGATTGCACCTTTTCCCCCTGATACCCCAACACTTTAGCCTCCCCCTGGTGGACTCAGGGTTACACTTCTGGAAGGCTCACTTTCTATGGACCATTTGGCAAGTTATTAAATGATGAGAGATCAAGTTACAAGAATGAGATCTGCATTTCTGATTTTAACGAACAGCTTTCCAAACAACAAAGATGTTATCTGGCTTTTCTTTTGCATCACACCTCTTGGAGGTTTATTGTCATTTAACTGTGTTTCAGGCCTGAAATAACAATTTCCTAAATACTTCGACATGTTCCATGAGAATCTAGTAACCAAAAACTTAAGCTGTGTTTTTTAATGAAAAATAATTGCAGCTGGTTACTGATAGATAGGGATGTATAATTAATTTTTTTGAAACACATTTTTATGTTGCTGTAATTGCTTTCATTTCCAGTGGGAAACTTATTTCTGGCTTTAATGTCCTTGTTTTCCTTCCAGTTTGGATGGGTTTCTTAGTGATCATCTCTCTTGCATAACGGATCTTCTTTATCAAGTTTTAGACATGTAACAAAGGGGCTCTGTTTCTTAGTCAATTAAAATAGCTTTGTGAATCTTAAAAAAACCCCACACCCATAACTATTATGTAACTGAGGATGCTGCATCTAGAAAGCCATTTATCCAGTTACATTGAAACAAGGGGAAACGTTTGTTCCCTCCCAGGGAATTCTTCTGTAGGGGGGGCGGGCAGCCATTTGCTACCCCAGAAGGTAGCAGAAATCGGATTGCTTTTTACATTTGGCTTTTCATTCATTTGGAAACCACTGCATGGTTTTACAGTGGCTCAGTTAAACCATCAATTGAAATTGTGTTTTGATTAAAATAACTATAGATAGTGCAGATTCAGGTGTTGGGCTGAAGCAACAGAACAAAGTTTGAGTCCAGTGGCACCTTTAAGGCCAACAAAATTTAATTCTGGATATAATTCCGGTTATAAGCATGGGCTACTCCACTAACCATGGTTGGTTAGGGTACGTCAGATCAGGACCTGAAACTATTGTTTAACCTCAGTTAGTTTTCACACCATGTATGCACACAGATATCCCAGCTTGTTCCCTGACATTACCTTTGCCATGGTATGGGCTGGGATATCAGTCTGGAATCTGCAGGGGAAA